TTTAATTGACGAAGGAATATCACACTTCGTGTATTTCAACAACCCTGCCCTTGAAGGTAAAGCTAGACTATAATCGCCGATGTAGCTAACGACTCTCCTACACCAGGGAGATTTTGTAAGGCTGTTGGGGACTACCACCGAACCGTAGCCCGGTCTTCAGCTGCTGCGATGCACTTCTTCAAGAAAGGGCTGGCAATATCACGCTTGTCTGGAAACACCATTCAAGAATCAAGTAACTTGAACGGCATAGCCGAACTTGAGTGTTATAGCGGTAATTATCACTCAGCTTTGAATCACGTCCGCGAGGCGCAGCGCCTCGCTAGGCTGGCTGGTGATTCCTATCGGGAAGCCTTGTCGCTTCGTGTGGCGGGGTTGTGCTCCAGGTTTCTCGGTGACTTCAAAAATGCCATAGTACATCTTCAGAAAGCCAGAGAGCTACTGAAGGTTTGCGGCATTCCAGGTGGAAATTTACAACAGCTCACGATGAACGACGAGGCCCAGGTCCACTTGCTCAAATCCGAATACGCAGAGGCGCGCGAAATCCACAGTCAACTTGTTCACACGATCTCAGCAGACAGGGATCCTGCATTTTATGCCTCTTCAGTCTTGAACTTCGCGGAAATCGGGGTCATCACTGGTGTGCCCACTCCCGAAGTGCAGCACCATCTCGATCGGGGGAAGGCCCTGTGCCAAAATCCGCACCATCCTACTGGTCTAGTGGTTGCTGATGTCATTTCGGCCGACTTACACCTGAGGGAGGGGGACACGTCGGCTGCCAAAGCCCGATTCCACCGATGTGTCACGTCTATGCGCGGTGTTAGCAACGAACTTGTGTCATACTCGCTGGAGAGACTCGCTGACGGCACACGCTGGAGCAACGCCAACCACGATTACGCGAGCTGGACGGTGGTTTACCTGGCACATGGATACCACACAGCAGAGAACTTGGCGCTCCTCAAAGGACTTATCTTTTTAGGAGACATCTTTCTCTCCCAACGCGATAACGAGACGGCCACCAGCCTCTTTCAGATTGCCCTGGAAGGGTTCACATCCATGGACGTCCATCGCAGTCGGGCCCAATGCCTCGTTCGTTTGGGAGATATCGCCAAAGACCGGGGCGACATTCCGGGGGCTCTCGAACTCTGGAAGAGAGCACGGGAGTTATTCGAGCGGTCCCTGCAGGACAAAGAAATCACCAGGATCGACTCCAGGCTTGCCGCCAATCATAGTATCGGGTTGGTCGTCGAATAGCATAGCCATCTCGGGAGCTCGTCGTGTAACTTGAACGCACTGATCACAATTATGACTTTACCTTAGCCAATAAATTCGATGGGAACGGGTTGGCGAGGTGGAAGTGACTTTGTCACGGCGACTATCTCGCAGAAAATGTAGATGCAGGTCCGTTTTAAAGTTCGCTCGCAACTTTGAGGTTGGATCACGGCCGCCCCATGAGGGATTGGCCGTCTTGGCATGTCCCAGTAGCTTCGTGTAAAAACAGCGGAATTCAGGAACAGTGCTAGAATGAACATGCATGCCGAGCGCGGCGATCAGCCAACGGCGACCAACTTAAACACAGGCCCAGTTGTGTGGGGTGGTTTTACACATCACCGCTCAGTTTAATCACCAAACAGGGAAGGTTCTCTAACATTATGCTTCCCGCCAATTCCCGGACTTAGTGGGCTTGATGATTCGATCAATCGAGTTTGAACGCTGCCCAATTTATGATCAGACACCGATTTAACAGACAGGGTGTCCCTTAACTGCCACTTCTTTTTCACCCCTCCTGCAATGTCAAGACCTCAAAAGCCGTTACTTCTTGCTGGCATTGCTCCCCATCTCTTCCAAACCCGTGCACCTATAGCTAAACGCGATATGCGGACTAAGACTATCAAGCTACGGTAGAATTGCCTCCGAGGACTCCGCTGTGGTCGGGAATGCGGGCTCTGAAAACGCCCAAGTCACGGGTGTGTAGATTCCTCTATCCAGTTTCTTTTGTTCCTAGCCAGACCACTAAACTTGGGACTAGAGCTCCTCCAGGAGGTGTTGCGGCGTCTCGAGCATGACAAGATCGTCTGAGCGCACTAGAAACGAAAAGATCGATGAGAACTCCTGAATCTACTTTGCGGCCCCCGACCGTGCGCGAAACGATGGCTAGGACCACGCACGTTGTCTGGTTTATGCTTTTTCCTTGTCTTAGTGAGTTTTAGGTTTGATCATTTTTTTCGACCAACTCATCACTTCGGTCACAGCGCATACGTTGGATTATATGGCCTGCGGCTAGACTCTTGTAATACAAAGAAAAATAATACTTACTGCTCGACATTTTCATAGTTGACGCAAATCCTGTCATCTCCTCGTTCTTTTATTTCTTTGTAATTCAGCGTGCTCAAGGGTGATCCGTTGACCGCATTCACCAAGAGCGGAAAGCTACGGATGGAATATTTTGACCTATGTTGGGGACAGCACGAGGTCAATAAGGCAGACGCGTCTTACGTGGGATTAAGCTGTTGACAACTTGAAGTCGGCGACATTGATTTAACTTGAACTACGGGTAAAACCGACGGAGAAGATGCACCGATGCACTCAAGCCAAGAGGTGAGAGGGAGCCAAGGAGAGCCGGAGGGTTGGGAACAACGAGGAGAGGACGAGCCAGATGAACTTGAAGTTATTGGGAGGAACTTTTTGAGGCGGTATATGAAAGGTGCAATCGATTCCGGATGATGGCGGTATGATTACTGAACGGGGACCTCGCCGAATAAGAGACGGAACAAGTTCGCAGAAAGTAGGGATGTCCGTTCGCTACCAAGCTTGCCTAGGTTGTGTTTGAAGATGAGTGAGAGCGACATCCTGAAACACGTCAAGGGAACACATGGAGAGCCGGTCTTCTGGTCGAAGCAAATGATCGGAATCCAAACCGAGCAGGTTAAACTTCAGTTGAAACAATTTGAAACACAGTCAAATCGAAAGCACTTGTTCCCATTGTGCACAGCTACCAAAAAACTACATCTGGGCTAACTAAAAATGTCAGTCCGTCTAATTCTGACATCCGGGCAACAAACTCCGGGGAGAGTTCCCGTTCGATCCAAAAGATCTGCGCCGCAAACCAACCACCATCGAAGCGGCAAGGGGCAATACGTGAAGTGATGCAATCTTGCAAGGATTCATCCTGGATTCGAAGGTGGGAGGTTAAGCACAAGTGCCTGAGATGCGGGAGAAGACTGTTTTCGCCTGCCCAGGAAATGTGGTGCAAGAGACTGTCTGTTATGACGGTATAGTCCGGACAGTCCCAGAGAAGCAACACCTGCAGCGACCGCAGCAGCGAGAGACATTCCACGAGGTCGTCTTCTGCGATCTTTGCCCAAACCTCGAAGGTAGTCAACGTGTCGCACAAGGAGGAACGCGCCGCAAAATCAACAAATTTAGGTTGATTCCAGAGAGGAGGCGAAACGTCGGGGCGGATGAAGCGAAGCTGACCTAGGGAAGGTAAAGTGAGGCATTCCATGATTGCCCCTAAAATTGTCCGGGTGTGGGGTGGATCCGGGTCGGTGATAAAACCGACAATCAACGTCTCCGCGTTCGAAGTTACGGGATGTAGTCCGAATGGAATAGCGGTGATCATCGCGGGGGTTATTAGAAGCTGAACTGTCTGAGAGAGGTGTGTGAGCATGTCAAGGGAAAGGTTCCTAGAGTGCCCATTCTGGTAGTTGAATAAACGGAGTTGGGCCCAGGGGAGTCGCGGATGTGCGACAGGGAAACCGGCCCCGCCCATGTGTTCCAATCGAGGGGCGATTTCAAAGATGTCATCGGTATAGGAAGTATCGTCGTGGGTTGCGAAGACAAGTGTCAACGCTTCCAATAACGGAAGATTTCCTTTGGCATCGCTTAGAAAGCGAAAAGCGGACATAGGAAGCATGATGCAAAGGGACTTCCAGCGATGGGAGTGCCGGCTGAGTAATTCCAGAAGGGTTTGCTGAATGGGCTGAGCCGAATCAACCACGATGTCCAGACTGAGAGGGAATTCCCCACCACGCTGTAGCGCAGAAGTAATACACCTAATCAGCGTGGTTGGAGGCTCGGAACATCTGGGCCACACATGTGTATCAACCACAAGGGTAGACCACAGGCTGGGGGTGCCCATCGCAATCCTGTGCCAATAGGCGCACACCTGCGAATTAGCCATGGAAAGAAAAGTAAGCAAACGTTATCAACGACTGGGAGAAAGCAGCAAGTAACGAACCTGAGAAAGCCGAAGCAAATGGTTCTGAGATACACGCTCCATTTCTTCTGCAGGTGTAGGCATCTTTCCGTTTCCACCACGCAGCGAGCACAGACCGAAGATCTGGACCAGCACTTCGGTGGGAAGGTGTTTAATGGGCGAGGAGATACTCCGGCAGCCATTAGCGTACGATTCCAGTACTTTCCGATCAGACTTGAGTATCGCTAGAACATCCTCTAGTGCCTCGATTTCGACGTCGTAACGCGCGACCTCGCTCGGTGCTTTGTCGAGAAAGCTCTGGATGGGGACCCATATCTCATGTTCGATATCAGACGGCAAGGTATTGGACCGGAGAATAGCATGAAGCTGGGCCAAGGCTGCGGGTGTCGGCAGGAACGACGACCTCTCGAAGCGGGTCTTGGACATTTCTGAGTCAGTGGGAAGACGCAAAACAGCGGTTCCGGCGCGGCCCGGCGCCAAGATCTCATCGGCAGGATCCCATCAGATCTTGTTCAACATCGTCGCTCTTCAACGTTCAGCCTTGGCCACTGGTTTGGCCGGCTGGCAAAAAAGAGAGTATGTTACCCGTCCATCGATATCTCAACAATCAGTCATTCTTCTTTCATCCGCTTCCATTACAGTCAACCCAAGCCCAAACTCAATCACGGTGGGTGAGTCTCTGCACTCCGACATTAGGTATAATACTTGGATTAAGCTACATCTGGATGGGAAGGGTCAGATTGACCATAGAACCAAAACAAAAAGACATTAGCTCGCCACCTTATTCAGACGCCGGGAATCGAACCCGGAGCTCCCACTCTTTGCTTTTGTACCTGGCTAGGAAAAGTGGGTGCGCGCCATGCACCACGTCCGAATTAATGTGCCTGTGCCGAGCTGGGATACACCCCACCGGCCGGGCAACGGTGGGCGCAAATGAATTAATTAAGTGATCAAGTGGGATCTGTGTGTCGTGACGGCGCGGGCACGGGCGATCGGCGTACCATCGCACTGGGGAACGGCTGTTGACCATCGGTACAAGGAAGGGTCAGATTGACCACAAAAACAAAAGAAATTGCCAGGTCATCATTGCATTCAGACGTCGGGAATCGAACCCGGACCTCCCACTGAACTTCTTAGACCCTAACTAGGGAGAGTGGGTGTGCACCATGCACCACGTCCGAGTTTGTATACCTGTTGTGAGGTGCGATATACGGTGCAGACTGGTCGACATTATAGGTAGTGAATGTCTTTCGTTAGACTCTAGGGCTGGTGAGTGGCAATTATTCCGCAGAGAGACACCGAGGTGGGCCCGTTGGTTATCAGCAAGATTCAGGCAAGGGTCAAATTAAGTCAAGGAAAAAGCATGTAATGTCACGGCATTAGGCAGACGTCAGAAATCGAACCCGGGGCTCCCACTGAACTTGTCTGTTGCTGGGACTAGGGAGAGTGGGTGTGCGCCACGCACCACGTCTGAGTTGGTATGCCTGTTAATATACGCCATGCGATGCAGGCTGCCGTGATGGGGATTTTTGACTTCCAAGTTGCGTCTGGCGGGTGGGTGTTCATTATTCCTCACAGGACCTTTTGGCCATCAGTATAAGTAAGTGATTGAGTAAAACAGAAAACGGCGAGAACCATTCGACACCTCATCGAGAGTACCGTACAAAGAGGGTCAGATTGACCACAGAAAAAAATTGTCCACATAGTAGCCGTCCTATTCAGACGCCGGGAATCGAACCCGGCGCTCCCACTGTACCTTCCAACCTAACCTTGTAGGGAGAGCGGGTGTGCGCCGTGCACCACGTCCGAGTTGGTATACCTGTTCCGCGGTGTGATAAATGTACACTGCAAGCAGCAAGCCGGCGGGCCAACAATAAGCGCGAGTTGACGCGCGGGCGGGTGGGTGTTCTTCCGCACTGAGACAGTTCGGTGGACGGCCGCTGGTTATTATATATAAGTATGAACAATGACGCAGATACGGACACAAAAGACGCGTACGGACACCCGACGAATTTGTTTATCGCACTCAGTGACCGGTCGTCGTTGATGTGCGGTTATCAGGAAGTACTGAGAGGAAAGGTTTCAGTGTGTAGGACGGGTTGAGTTACAAATGAATAAGGGTTCGACGATGATACATACCGGCCGAATATCGTGTCGGATTTACCGTAGGTATTGAATATGAATACTTCATGCGAGACGACGACGGCGATTATCTATCATCAAGCCCAAGGAAAGGGGTTTAGGGTTCGACGATGCAGATAGGAGTAAGGGATGTGCTTATGCCCAGGCGAATGTGTTGTGGGGTTTAAATATTGGATATATGTTCGAGGTGGCGATTATCTACCATAATCAGCCGAGTCGAAGGAAAGAATTTAGTCGTTGGCAGCACAGACGTAAATATGCATGTCTCGGACGGATTTAACGGATTTGTCCCACTTGAACTCCGGTTTTCGTTGATATTTGAGTCGGCGATTATCAGCTATTGATAGTATCAGTCCTCAAGTCGAAGTAGACGTTTAATCGTTGGCAGTGCGAATCGATGCGGACGAAAGGGACCATAGAACCAGAATAGAATCCTGTTCAATCCAAACTAGTAGCCGTTAATGAAGGGAGGACCCAAAATAAATTCATTACATTGTAATCAATCGGTGTCCTGATAGTCTTGATGCATATGAGGGTGATCTAGAAAGATAGACGACAACCAGGTAGATAGATGGGTGCATAACACACAGTGGAAGCCGTGATGGAATGAAGGGTAGGAACTTTCGGAGAGGACGGAATAAAGTGGTGCGGGCTTGATCCCGGGAAAACCGTTCAAAAGTACTAGATGAGAGTACGGCGCGCACACAGTTTGAGGTGCCGATATGCATGTAGACGGGGGTGGTGCTGGTAGGATTCGATACGTGTGACTCGGAGTTTGCGGATTTGCCGTGCAGCGTGGGTTGCGCGAGTTCTGCGGCCAGGCGCAGTTGAGACGGTGTAGATGAGTCAGTAGAGGTCACCGGCGAGCTAGGAAGCCGTTCAATACTTTGTTCATCAAAGAGCAGGGCCGCGTCATCCCATGGCCAGTTAAACGACAAACAAGCAACTGCTCGAACGCAGCACCCAACTCAGCACAAGGGACGCAGGCGGCCGCAGGCCGGCGGCCGCAAGCGCGGTGATTGTCACGGAGACAGGACCGGCTGGGGAGGATCCGTCGTACGATGCAATGCTCGTGCGCCCTAGAGACAGTTTGCGACCCTGAGCGAAGACAAGGACTGAGAACGGCCAGAGAGGGAGATGGGAGAAGACAAGTCCCGAAGGAAATCGCTGCAGGTCGATCATATCGGCAGAACCACGTGGCGGCTTCCGCGTGGGCAAAGGGAAAGTGCCGCCCCCGTGCCGCCACTGACGCCCTTTGCCGCCTGGGGGCGTCAGTGGGGCGTCAGCGGGGGCGTCAGTCACCAATCAACTAAGGTATTACAAGGTAGGGAGTGTCAGTGGCGCGTTCACTAATGTGCGAGAGAACCTCAACATGTTTACTTTATCAACTTGATTACACATAACCGGCTCCATGTCGTTGGGACTTGTTTTTTTCGGTGGAGGGCGGCAACTTGGGGGCGGCAAATTTACTGTTGAGGGGCGGCACAACAACTGTGGGGGGCGTCACGGAGGGCGGCGGGGGGCGTCAATAGGGCGGCAACAGGGGCGTCAACAGGGGCGGCAAGGGGCGTCAGTCCCAATGTGGGGGCGGCAATACGGGCGGCAGATCTTCTGGGGGCGGCAATCTTCCTGCGTGACAGGGGCGTCAGTATGTCACACCGGGGCGTCAGCCTCCAACTGGGGGCGTCACTGGCGTCAAAATTTTTATCGTGAAGTGAGTGCAAAGGGAGGAATGAATTCAATTTCAACAGTCTTTCAACACTTCCTTCTGCTCGCTAGGTTCAAGATTTAGAAAATTTGGATCCGGGCCTTACCCCCGAATCGCCGATGCTGCCGATTGGGGTGTACAACCACTCACAGAGCCTATAATAATTATCCCATTGGGTAATGTGACTGTAAGTTTTGGGGATGAGTTGTATACTGAACCGTAAGTTCGTGTATCCGGTGGATAATTTACTATTGTCACTTTCTACCAAAGTTCAACAATTGTCTCTACTCCCTATGGCGGTCAGAACTCTCCAATCTGACGACGTACGACGGTCAGGGAGAGCGCTAGAAGTAACTGGATGATTGCCTGGGCCCAATGAGTCAACCCCCGCAAAATGGCGAAGGTTATGCAGAGCTACAAGTACTGAAATGGGAAATTATTGAATCGGTACTCCTCAGAGAGAATCTTCTACTGTTCAAAGGGGTAGAGGGCCTTAGAGACACCCCAGCAGTATGCCCCAATCTTTGCGGATTTTAAATGCCTGAGTTGGGAACAGGGCAAAGAGAAGAAGGAGAAGGCCGCAAACTGGTCATGTGATTTAAAACTGACAAGACACAGCCACTCTTGTTATCGTTCAGCGCCGACACCCTTACCACACACCCCGTCTACCACCGTGACTTTATACCGTTTACTTCCACTGATAAGTCGATTTATTCCTTGTGACCACAGCATTGCACAAAGACTTGAGTTCATCTTCGAATCAGACTTTTTACTCCTCTTCACGCCCCTTGAACCCCTTGGCCTATCCCAGCTTCAAAATACCGAAATCGCTCTTCAATGCCTGGATTTCCCCCATATCTCAGTGAAATGATGTCATTGGACACCGCCGGCGCCTTAATTGCATCTATTTGGCACTTACTCCTGACTCTCGACTTCGACCACCCTGATGCTTGACTGGCTCTACATGACCCTTATTCTCTGCCTCATTGCTAGTAACCTCAACCGCATCATCTGGATCCTTAAATGGCTCTTTGTTTACTTCTCTCGGCCCCGGGAACCCCGACTGATTCCTTACTTCGATGAACACGGTATGATCGACTTTTTTGGCTTGCGTTGAAACCTGGTTTGACTCGTCTTGGATAGGGCAACTGATTGGCATGGTCCGAGTCCCCGATCCGCATCGTTATCGCCAGATGGCTCCACCGCTTCCCTCTGGTTCGAGAGCTCCAATCTCCGCCAAGGCTGAAGACAGCCTCGACCAACATCGACCGCTGGTCGCTTCTAGTCTGTGTTTTTCCACTCTCAAAAAACTACCATTCTATCCTGATCAATGCTCGAGCAGCCAGAACTCCCCGTTCGGACTACTTATTGGTGGGATTGGCCCAAATTCCTTCGGCGTTGAGTTGGGACTGTTGGCCCGATGGGCAGTTTCAGTGCTTTTTCTCTCGACAACAATTGGCCGACACAAACCAGCTCGCAATGAACTGGGTTCTCGAAACGATTCTCAACCGCGGGTCCTCTGACGCATTGACTTGGCAAAAGGGTAATGAAGTTCGCCGACGTTGCCTCGGGGTGATCACATGTCACGGTAAACAGTGCTCTATGCACCTCGCCCCGGGGCTGCGAGCCATGGATCGCCAAAAACAGCTGCACCACACTTGTCCTGTTTGCGAAGAAACTCTGGGTCTCCACCGATGCGGAATTGAGTCATCTCTCCTCAGATTCCGGGATGGAGGCGTCTTTATTCACGGCGGGGCTCACACTCATCAGCAATTCACACATTCGTCGATATTCCGCCGCAACGGATCCCTTGAATTCATCGAGTATGTGCCAAAATACCGGCCACGATCTCGGAGTCCTGTCCCCGGAGTGAGTTGATTGATAGCACCGTTCAAACGAGACCTCACCATACCCAAAGTTCGACCTTGAGCCAGCGGCATAATCTCTGAGTCCCGTCGAAGTGAGTGCATCCATTTCTTCGACCGTTGCAGGCTCAACAGTAAAAGTCTGTCTTTGATATAGCAGAGCACGACAACGCGAGGACTAATTCCCCAGGAATTCAGCAAGGTTCAGATGAGGTCCCGGATGGTGTGATTTATTCCCTTGTTCTAAGACGGTTCTGACGTTTGGAAATCAAAGGTAATTGGGAATATGCAGACAAAGATAACAATGGTACGATTTTCTTCGCGGCATTGGTGTCACCAAATTAGTTAACCGCACAGGGAATACAGGCATGGATGAATCAGCGGTATACGACGAGGATGAGAAGTGGGAAATGCGTCAAGATCCTGATGCTGAAGTTGATGAGCTGGAAGGGGAAGAAGATTAGATTAGATTCGGAAGTAACCGACCCTCGGCCGCTGATGATTAACAAACAAAAACATTAAACCCCTTTCCATTTTGTGCTTGGCGACGATGCTGGTAACGTGGATTTTAGCTTCCCCTATCGTGACACTTAACAATAGTCAAGCGATGGGTTCACAATGTCCTCGGTGCATGGCTTCAGCCAACAACAGCGCAGAATGTGCCGATTTGTGCGTTACCTTCTGGACTGTTATTGCTTTGTTAATTATGGGCTGAAAAGACGAAATGGATGTGATTCCCTCTGCGGCAGTTCCACTTTATGATGCCCAAGGCTTGCTCGTGGCGTTTGTTACCCAATCGGGCCCTCTCAGAACCCAACATAGACGGGAAACGCACAGTGAGCTTCAGCATGTAGTTTTTCATTGTTTTTATGTTGATTATTCCGTCAGAAAGCCGTGGAGGCTCCAGTTCGCTTGTCCACAGAACAGAAAAATCGTATCAGCCAGTCCATCCGTATAGAGGAGCCAAAATAGAGTCCACGCCGCCTCTTGAACCACCTCCAAAGCGAACGGCAAAAGTGAAAGCCAAGTCATCTCTGGCATCTCCGCCCTTAGCGCAAACGAGTTCTCGCCCTTCAAAACATGTTGCCGAGGAA